GGGCCAGCTGGGAGCTAACCCCCTCCCCGCCCCTGGTTCTCACCACCCCAGCCCTGCAGCTCCCACTGGCCAACGATGGGGGCAGCCGCTCACCGTCCTCCGAGAGCTCCCCGCAGCACCCCACGCCCCCCGCACGGCCCCGCCACATGCTGGGGCTCCCGTCAACCTTGTTCACACCCCGCAGCATGGAGAGGTGAGCGGCTAGGGTGGCTGGTGGGAGGGCCGGGAGGTTGGGGCCGGGGCGGGGCGGGGCGCAGGGCAAGCCTCAGGGAGGAGCTGGTGAGCTCTGTGGAACCCTGTGTGTTAGGGGCTGGGGTGGCTTCAGGTTGGTCAGGACCCACTCTCTGTCCCCTCAGCATCGAGATTGACCAGAAGCTGCAGGAGATCATGAAGCAGACGGGCTATCTGACCATTGGGGGCCAGGTACCGCCCTTCCCTCGGCGTCCCCCAGGGAGGGTGGGCAGGACGCTGCTGGTAGGTCTGGGCTGGGGGTGGAGGGCAGAGGCCCGGTGGACCCCCAGCCCTGGCTCTCCTCGCCAGCGCTACCAGGCGGAAATCAATGACCTGGAGAACCTGGGGGAGATGGGCAGCGGCACCTGTGGCCAGGTGTGGAAGATGCGTTTCCGGAAGACGGGGCACGTCATCGCTGTCAAGGTGAGCCCGCCCCCGCCCCCACCCCCGGTGGGCCCCGCGCCCCAGGCTCGGCGCTAAGGCCCCTGCTGTCCCGTGCAGCAAATGCGGCGCTCGGGGAACAAGGAAGAGAACAAACGGATCCTCATGGACCTGGACGTGGTGCTCAAGAGCCACGATTGCCCCTACATCGTGCAGTGCTTCGGGACCTTCATCACCAACGTGAGCCGGCCGCCCGCCCCCCAAGCCTCCCGTGCTGGTCTCTGAGCCAGCCCCATGCCCCCCGCCCCTCCCCCAGGACCCGAGCCTGTCTGGGGTGGGCAGGAGGGTACAGCCACCCCGCCAAGCCGCCGCCTGCTGTCCCCGCAGACGGACGTCTTCATTGCCATGGAGCTCATGGGCACGTGCGCCGAGAAGCTCAAGAAGCGGATGCAGGGCCCTATCCCTGAGCGGATCCTGGGCAAGATGACGGTGGCGGTGAGCAGCTGGGTGGGGCGCAGGCGGGCGGGTGGTCCCCCCCCCCCCCCCCCCCGCCCCACCAGGCCCCGTCCCTGCCATCACTGGTGCCCTCCTCTGCCCGCGCCGCAGATCGTGAAGGCACTCTACTACCTGAAGGAGAAGCACGGCGTGATCCACCGGGACGTCAAGCCCTCCAACATCCTGCTGGATGAGCGGGGCCAGATCAAGCTCTGCGACTTCGGCATCAGCGGCCGCCTCGTTGACTCCAAAGCCAAAACACGGAGCGCGGGTTGCGCTGCCTACATGGCAGTAAGTGGGGCCCAGCAGCGCCCGGCGGGCGGGCATGAGGGGCGGTGCACCCACCCCAGCCACAGGGGTACATCCACCCTCTCCTACTTCCCACCGGCAGCCTGAGCGCATCGACCCCCCGGACCCCACCAAGCCCGACTACGACATCCGGGCCGACGTGTGGAGCCTGGGCATCTCTTTGGTGAGTTGGGGTCCCTGCTCTCCGAGGCCAGGGGTGGGGTCTTCTCAGGGTACAGAGGCAGGTGGCGGGAAAGGGCAGGATCCTGTCCTTGGCCGGCCCAGCCTTGCCCGTCTCTCTCCCAGGTGGAGCTGGCGACGGGACAGTTTCCCTACAAGAACTGCAAGACGGACTTTGAGGTCCTCACCAAAGTCCTACAGGAAGAACCCCCACTCCTGCCCGGTCACATGGGCTTCTCGGGGGACTTTCAGTCCTTCGTCAAAGACTGGTGAGGGGACTTGCCTGGTGGCACAGTGGTTAAGACTCCACGCTCCCGATGCAGGGGGTCCGGGCTCAATCCCTGGTCAGGGAACTAGATCCCACATGCATGCCGCAACTAAGAGTTAAAGACTGGTGAGGAACCCCGCCCCCGCCCTCCGCTCTGGAAGGCAGGGTGAGGTCAGATGTGGCCCTGCACCCAGGCCACTGGGGAGGGGAGAGGGGCCCCAGGATGGTGTGGGGACTGGAGCCCGAGCCCCGGGAGCTAGGAGTTGGGTTTGGACTCAGCCTGAGGGGACACCTGGCCCCAGGGGTATTTGGCAGGGTGGCCCTCGGGCTTCACCTTGGGGGAGCTGTGAACGAGCAGAGGCGCCCCAGGGCTAAGGGCTCTGAGTGTCCTGCACCAGCTGGCAAGAGTAGCGCACGCGGGAAGTCCACATTGGAGCCTCCCGTGAGGGAGCCCACCCACCTCTCCCATGGGCATCTCACGGCCCACATTGGGCTTCTGTCACGGTGGGGGGCCCAAGCGCAGGCCCGGGAGGGTGCGGGCTTCTGCCCACAGATCTTGCAGACCCGACTCAGCCACGAGGGCGGCCAGGCCTCTCCCACCTGCTCTCACTTCTCTTCCTTTCCTCTTCTCCCTCCAGCCTTACTAAAGATCACAGGAAGAGACCAAAGTATAATAAGCTACTTGTGAGTACCCGGGGCCCTCCCCAGCCCCCATCCTAAGCCCCCCGCCACACTGGGTGCCGGGCCTGAGCAAGGCCAGCAGGGAAGACGCCCTTGCCCTAAGTGCCCTGCCTTGGGCCCCACAGGAACACAGCTTCATCAAGCGCTACGAGACGCTGGAGGTGGACGTGGCGTCCTGGTTCAAGGATGTCATGGCGAAGACCGAGTCGCCGCGGGCGAGCGGGGTCCTGAGCCAGCACCACCTGCCCTTCTTCAGGTAGCCGCACAGCGGCGGCCAGCCCACTGGGGGCCGGGGGCGTGGCCACCGGCCTCCCCTTCCCCACCCGGCCACCCAGCTGCCCGCCAGGGGAGCCCTGGGACCTGGACGGCCGCCGAGGGCTGAGGACAGAAAGTAGGGGGCGCCGACCCACCCCTGACTCCCTGCCCACCAGCCATGGACAGATGGGCCCGCCAGGCCCCAGCCCTTCCCGTCCCAGGATCAGCCGGCTGTGTGCATCCCCCCCCCCCCCCGACAGACACTGTGAACGGAAGACAGCAGGCCGCGAGCAGACTCGCTATTTATTCAGTTGTAACCTCTGGGCTGGGGCGGCCCCCAGGGACCGGGAGAGAGCCGCCCGTCCTGTCCCCTCCCCTCCACACCGCGCTGTCCCACCGCCGCCTCGCACGCACATGCACCCTGGCTCCATCTCCCTCTCTCTGTCCCCTCCCTCTCTACCTCTCTGGCTTTCCCTGTCTCCCTCCCTGCCTCTGCCTCTCTCCTGGCCCAGGCCCTGCCACCCCCGGCGGCACCCCTGGGTCCGTTTAGGTCTGCAGCAAGCCATGAGTCAGTTGGCTGGCATCTTAGCCCTGGGCAGGCGGGCTGGACGTTGTGACTGCAGCCAGACCCGGGCTGGTCTCTCTCTCTTTCTCTTTTTGATCTCAGGGGGTCCTTTTTGGAGTTTATCGTATTTTATTGTACTTGGTGGGGTGTTTGGGGGGTGGGGGGAGGAGAAGAGCTTGTTCTCATGGGGTTTGTCGGTACCTTCAGAAACTTTTACCAAAGTCATGTTTAGCTGCTTGTGGTGGCAGCCCCCCCGATGGCCCACGGGCGCTGGGGGGCTGGGGGCCGAGCCTTGGGGGCCTGGGCCACCCCGCCGGGGAGAGACTAGTCCCAAAGGTGGGCTCTGGGGGGGGGCGCGGGGTGCTCCTCCCTCGGGGCTGGAGACTGGCCACAGCTTGTAGGGGTGAGTTGAGGACCTCGGGGGGTGTGGAGGGAGCCCAAGGGGCCGTGGCCACACAGGGTGGCCTTCAGGGAAGGCAGGTGTGGGGCATGGTGGAGGGCAGCAGGTGCCGGTGAGGCAGAGGAGGAGGAGGGAATGGGTGACAGGAGCGGGGGCCATGGGGCCCGGGGAGACAGGGATTGAGGGCACGTGGAGTGGACGTGGGGGTCTGAGGATGTGTGACAGGGATAGAGGTGGGGCAGGCCGAGGGCTGGGCGTGTGGAGGCAGTCACGCCCTCGTAGTGGCCCTGAGTGCCCCTCGACTCACCCAGAGCTGGCCAGTCCCCAGCCCACACCGAGGCCCGGGCCCTGGGGAGCAGCGAGAGCAGGAGGAGGGGGTGTGTTTCCTTTTTGTTGGTGATGCATGCAAATCAAGTGGACAACGAAATAACAACAAAAAACAAAAGAAAACTGCAGAAAAACCACAAAAAGCAACCAACACCAAAGGTGAGGAAGCTCGCTGGATGTAGCTGAAGCAATCTAGACTAGGCATCACTGTAGCCTCCATCTAGCTCACTGACTGTAGTTACCACTAGGGTAGTCACAAAACGCCGCATGTTTTAAAAAGTACCCGAAGTCATCTTTTCTCTGCTCCCCCCCTCTGGGGGGTGGCCACCTTCTTTTGCTCCAATCCCCTTTGTGAGGGGAGGGGGGCAGGGTGTGGGGCCAGTAGGCCTGGCTCCCGCCCTCCCTCATGGGCCCCAGCCACAGGGGCCTTTGTGGGTAGCCGGGAAGGTCGCGTGGCTGGCCCCAAGGGCCAGCTGCCTGAGTTTATTTTTATTTAACTTTATTTTCTGTTTTGTGAGTGTGTGTAGGCCCGTTTCCCCTCCCCGCCTTCAGTGTTAAATGGGAGCCTCTCCTTCCCCCCTCCCTTTCCCATGTCCCCCCCCCCCCTCCACCCAGTCACCAGTCACCAGCCATCCCTCTCCATCAGGCAGAGGGTGAAGTGGGCAGGTGGGGGCCTGGGGCGGCCTGGGCCCAGCCCATGGTCTACAACCCCTTCTCAGGCCGCCAGTACTGCCCCGTCCCTTTTTAAAACGAAACGCCCTCGTTTGTAAATCCTTAGACGCTTGAGAATAAAACCCCTCCCTTTTCTTCTGCGGTGTCTGTGGTGTGTGTTGTGAGCCTGGCAGTGAGGTGGGGAAAGGGGCCAGGGAAGGGGTCGTGAGCCCCGACCTTGGGTCTCGGGGGCTGGTGGATGGGGCCTCTGCAGCGAAGAGAGACAGGCAGGGCTGGGGGCTGGAGGGGAAGTGTTTGTAGTGACTAGCCCCATATCTAATGGCCATTGTGAGGGACCTCCCCCCAGCCCGATAGCTACAGGTCTGGCCAGAGAGCCCTTAATCCCCAGCAGGCCTTGGCCGTGGGTTCTGATGTCGGCCCATCAGTGCACCGCCCCCGCTCCTTGCCTCCCCAAATGGCCCCCCAGCCAAGGCCAGAGCCGCCTGCCCGCCTGCTGGGCCCAGTGCTGCCTCAGCAGGTCCAGCATGCTGGGCACCGCGATCCTGCTGCTGGCCCTGCTCCCAGGGATGACCACCTTGCCCAGCGAGTCAGCTGGTATGTACAGGCAAGGGGACGTGGCCCAGCACACCCCCACGCCCGTGTTACTCTTTCTCAGTGCACCCTCTCATCCACCCCGCCTGGGGGAACGGGGGTGGGTGGGAGGTGGGGTCTGCCCCATCCCCCGTTTTCCAGGTTCTCTGGGATCCCTAACTTCTTCGAAGTCCCAGCAGCCAGGTGAGACCAAGGGCTGTGGGAGGGGAGCAGTCTGCGCCAATGCTTTTAGGGAATGTCTGTGCCGGTAATTCTGGACATTTGAGAACATCCTTTGATGAGGACCCCAGCTGAGCGCCTCCTTAAGGCAGAGGTCTTTGTCAGTGTGGTGCATGTGTGTGTGATCACACACCCCAGTGGAGGCTCCCCTGTGCCTCTACCCTTTGCCGATGCTGCCCTCAGCCTGCGAGTGAGTGAGGAACACTGACAAAGGGAAAAGGCCCAGACCCGTGTGGCCGGGCTGGGCCTCCACGATGCCCAAAGGGCTTGGGGGAGAGCGCCTTGCTATTCTTCCCTCCCCTTAGAAAGGCAAGAATGGGGCGAGCACCCCCCCCCAAACGGCCCTGCTGTGACCCCAGAGGAGCCCCTGGTCCTCGGTGGATGAGCGGGGGGTTCAGACTCCAGAAGGGGAGGGCTTTTGACCTCACCCAGGCTGACCCTCCACCATCAGGTGCCCCTCGACCCCTTCCGGGCCAGGGATTCCCTTGCTCACTGGGGATGGTGAAGTAGAGGTCTGGGAAGGGGGCTCCTCCCCAGGAAGGCGCAGCTTTGCGCCCAGGCTCAGGGGCTGGGCTGGGATGTCCCCCAGGTCTCCAGCGGGTGCATCCCAGCTGCTTTACGGCTGGCGGTGGGAAGCACGGAGACGAGCGCGGGTGAATCCTCCACCGCAACTGCATCCATTTTCCAAAGTAGGCAGTGGAGGCGAGGTTGGCTCACTTGCCAAGGGGGCCTAAGGGACAGCGCATCCTCCTTCCCCTGTGCCACCCTTTCTCCCTGCCAGTGTCCCCGTTCCCCGCGGCGCCAGGGCCCAGGCTGCGCCGACCCCTTTTCAGTCTGGAGCTGTCGGACGCGGAGGACGCCTTCCCGCGCCGCGCGGGGCCGTTGGAGGTCCCGGCAGACAGCCGCGTGTTCGTGCAGGTACAGGCGCGGGGCTCACCGAGGCCGGGTGGCGGCCGGTGGGGGCAGCCGACCCTGACCGCGACCCCGCCCCCCAGGCGGCCCTGGCCCGTCCCTCCCCGCGCTGGGGCATGGCCCTGCACCGCTGCTCGGTGACACCATCCTCACGCCAGACCCCGGGCCCCGCCCTGGCGCTGCTGCGCGGGGGCTGTTCCGCCGACTCCTCGGTCACCTTCCCGCCACCGCGGCCGCTCCCAGGTGCCGCTCGCCCCGCGCGCTTCAGCTTCCGCCTGCGCCCGGTCTTCAACGCCTCTGTGCAGTTCCTGCACTGCCAGCTGAGCCGCTGCCGCCGCCTCCGGGGAGCCCGCCAGACGCCTGCGCCTCTGACGCTGTCTCCACCGTCGCCGGTGCTCGGGCACGGGGCGGGGAATCTGGGCGCCCGGGCCCGTCGGGGCTGGGCACAAGAGCCTCTGGCTTCTGAGGGAGAAGCCTCTTAGGGTTTGGGGATCTGGGGGTCTGGGAGCTTTTGGACCTGGGGGCAGAGGTACCTCGAAACTGGGAGTAGGCACTGGGTCTCAAGCTGAGGTTGGGCGCAGGGGCGTCCGAAGGGGCCGAATTTCCAGGGGTCTAGTATTGCGACACCTGGTTGCAATATAGTGCTGGACGCTTAGATCTCTTGGGAGCCCTGGGGACCCGCCCCTGGAGCCGGGGCCCTGACGTCCCCGCCTCTTGCCTCCCCCTCCTCCCAGTGTCTGCCTCGGGATGAGGCGTGCGCGGGCGCCGGCAGTGGCCGCGATGAGAGTCTGGGTGCCGACAGCCCTCACCTGCACACGCTGACGCAGCCCATCGTGGTCACGGTGCCGCGGCTGCCCCCCAGTGAGCACGCAGTAGTCCTCAGCGGGGGTCTCTGGGGTCGGGAAGGGGGATGGGGAGGACATCTGAGGCATGAGCCCAGTCTCTGCGTTGTACTTCTCACAGGGCCACCCAAGGGCGTCCCCGGCAGAGCCGTGCGACCCGAGCCTCCCGCGCCGGCCCCGGGGGTCCTGGAGCCCGCGCCGGTGGTAGCACTTGTGTTGGCCGCCTTCGTGCTGGGCGCCGCTCTGGCCGCCGGGCTCGGCCTCGTCTGCGCTCACTCAGGTACCAACCTGCGTCCGCCGGGATCTCCGCCTGGCCCCCAGCCTATTCCCACGCGTCCGGACCCCTGGTCGCGGCGATCCCAGCCTGCTCGGGCCTGACCATCCCTAGACCTGCTTCCGCTACGCCTGCAGCAGCCCCCCAGGGGGCGCCCTTGCCCCGGCCCAGCGCGCAGCAACCCCTACTCCCCAGCCTGCCTTTCCTCTCCAGCGCCCCTGCCCCCCGGCCCGCCCCCGAGAGCCTCGCCCAGCGGCCCCCCGCCCAGCAGGCCCCAGTGAGGCAGGTAAGTGTTGGCGGGAGGGAAGAGGGGGAGTGTAACCTGGGGCCGGTAGGACGGATGGAGGAGGGAGGTGATAATGACTCTTCATAGCGCGTTCTCTCTGCCAGGCGGAGTACCAAATGTTTTACGCATATTAATCCTTGTAACAAGCTTCAGGTAGATACTCCTATAATCCTCATAATAGATATTTAAAAATGAGGCACTCTCTGAAATTAACTTGCCAAAGGTCACAAAATTTGGTGGAGCTGGGATTCTAAATCACGTAGTGGGTGACTCGCGGCCGACTGAGGGCTTAGTGTCGTAAGAAAGGACCTCAACACCTCAGACAGGCACACTAGGCAAGGAGAATTCGGGTTTCAGACCTAGCACCCACCCTCGCCCCGGCACACAGACTGATGGGGCGGCCAATGATCGGTTGGGAAGGGGGTGACCTGCCGTAGCGTCCTCTACCCTGCTCAGCCTGAGTCGCCCCTCTCCAGAGATAGCGCGCCCCCAACAGGGTCCGGAGACATACCAGCCACAGCCTTGGACCAGGCCCGCCAGGACCTGAGACTCGATGGGACTAAGATCCCTGCGCCCCGCGCCCCCTCTTGCTCCTCCTCCCACCCTCCCACCTGGGTTCAGAATAAACATCTGGCCTGAACTGCAGCGTTCTGAAGTCTGCGTGCGCGCGTGGCGCGGGGGTGGGGATTCCGGGGTGGAAAAGGTCCAGACTGGAGGGGTGGAGCTCTGGGGCGGGGCTCATACGCCCTTATATATACGTGTGCGGTTACCGCCCAGGGGAGCCCCAAGGGCATTTTGTCCCACACAAAAAGGGGACACCCAACTCCACCAGCTTAAATTTAAAAATAAGCCTCGTCTCCTTCTCCACTCCTGCACCGCCCACCTGCTTTCTCAACCCCAGGATTTCTCCGCTCTCCACTCCCACCGCCCGGACCCTGCCCTCGCTAGGGCCTCGAGCTCAGGCCTCTGCTCCAGTCTCCTCTCCGTCTAGCCTAAAGGTCCTTAAATCCCTCCTGCCCGAGCTCCTGCCTCCCCAGAACGTAGACAAGGGGGTGACTATTAGCTCCATTTTACGGTTGAGGAAACTGAGGTTCGGCAAGGCCAAATCACTTGCTCACCAGTCAGGGCTGGCCGACCCCACAGCCCAGGCTCTTGGCTACAAAGCACATAATAGGAGTTTCACAAGACGTAGTTCTGGAAGGGAGGGAGGGCACGAGATCTAAGAACTTGGCTCCAGTTCACGAATGAGATAGAATGCGGGCGGGGGGGTCTCGTTCGCCCCCGCCTCAGCTAGACGCCAGTCTCCCCATTACTTCCCGGGGAAGCAGTTCCCTTCGGCCCGCAAACGCAGAGCCACGCCCCCATCTACTTCTGCCTCCGCGCGGGGTCTTTTGGCCCCAGCGGCCGCCATAACCCCGCCCACTAGGGAAACGGCCCCGGAACGACGACACCGCCCTCACCCGCCTCACCGGCATGAAGCCCCCGCAGCGGCGGCGAGCGGCCCCGGCGCGCTATCTGGGTGAGGTGACCGGCCCTGCGGCCTGGAGCGCCCGCGAGAAGCGGCAGCTGTTACGACTACTGCAGGCGCGACGGGGCCAGCCGGAGCCGGACGCCGCCGAGCTGGCCCGGCAGCTGTCGGGCCGGAGCGAGGTCGAGGTGAGAGGGGTCTCGGGATGGGAGCGAGGCTGGAGGTGGGGCTAGGATGTGTTCGGGGCTGGCGGAGGGGCTGGCCCTGGGAGTTGGCGGGACGAGAGTGAGGCTGGGGGGCGGGGCCTTGGAGTGGGCGGGTCGAGGGTGAGGCGGGGGCGAGGTTGCGGAACCGGAAGAACGCCGGAGGAGGCGGGATTAGTGCAAGGCTGGGCCTTGTGTGCCTGCGAGAAGCTGAGGGCGGGGCGAGGGCGGAACATAGCCGAGAGGCGGGGCGAGGAGGAGGCAGTGCTGCGGCAGGCTGAGGGGCGGGGCGAAGCCAAAATTTGGGGGCGGAGCGAACTCTGAGTTAGAGCGGAGGCCCCGGACTGGGTGGAAGGCGCAGAGGGACTGGGCGGGAATGAGGTTGAAGTGAGAGTCAGGAAATGGGGCGGAGTGGACGAAGCGGGCAGGTGACTAGGGTAGTACTTAGCAAAGGGTGGGCCCTGGCTGCGGGGAGGAGCCAGAACCAGCCAGGGCCTTACATCTTTGTCAGGTAGCTGGTCACACCTGGGGCCTTGGCCCAAGACCCCTGGGCAGAGTCCCTATGACCCTTAACTCCGGGCCAGCGGGAGGCTAGGGAGCAGTGGCCGGCCCTGGAGCAGGCAGTGGACTGCCTAGCCCTGGGCTTCTAGAAGGTCCATTTGGCCTCATCCTCTCACTTCCCCAGATCCAGGACTTTCTCCGGCAGCTCAAGGGCCGAGTGCTCCGAAAGGCCACTCGGAGGATGCATCCAGGTGGCCCACAGGGTCCCAGGCGCCGGGAAACACAGACCCCGGCCCCCATCGAGGTGAGGCGGGGCGAGGCTCCCCAAGGCCGGCCCCTGGAGGATGAGGTGGGAGTTGGGGGGATAACCTGGTCAGGGGAGCCGCAGGAGGGGTGGGGCTTGGGGGACTCCTGAAGGTTGATCCGTGAGCATCTTCTGGTTACTCCACCCAGGTGTGGATGGATCTGGCTGAGAAGATAACAGGCCCGCTGGAGGAGGCCCTGACCGTGGCTTTCTCACAGGTACAGCCATCCGCCAGGAAGGATGAGGGTATCCCGGGGACGGGGTCATATATGTGAGTCTCATTAAGCTGGACCTGGTTCCTGGGTCCCTTCCTCTTGCCAGCTCTGTGACTCTGGTCCGTCACCGGACACCCTAGCCTCAGTGTCCGCCCTTCTGAGGCCCTCTGCTGAATGTGACGCCTTCCTCAGGGTGGCAGGGAGGATTTGGAGGTGGAAGGCTGTCTCCTGCAGGGCAGGGGAGTAGCCCACGGGGACGCTTCTGCCTTTCCTTGCCTGATCTCTCTGCCTGCCAGGTGCTCACCATCGCAGCCACGGAGCCCCTCAGCCTCCTGCACTCCCAGCCCCCCAAGCCCACGCAGGCTCGTGGAAAGCTACTGCTCCTCAGCGCCCCTGGAAGGCAGGAGGACCTGGGCCCTGAGGCTCCTGGCCCCGCCCCCAAGACACAAGGCCCTGCCCCTGAGGCATCCTCTGAGTTCCTGGCTGGCCCGTCCGCTGAGGAAGACTTTTCTGTGGACTTCGAGAAGATCTACAAGTACCTGTCGTCCATCTCCCGCGGCGGCCAAGGCCCCGAGCTTTCCCCCGCTGGTGAGAAGGGAGGGGCTGACGATCTGGGGGTGGGAGTCTCCGGCGGCAAGCCCCGCCCTTCCCTCACCCGTCCCCTTTCCATCCATCACCAGAGTCAGCTGTGGTCCTTGACCTGCTCATGGCACTTCCTGAGGAGTTGTCCCGCCTGCCCTGCGCTGCCCTGGTTGAACATATGTCAGATACGTACCTACGCCTGATGGCCCCCCAGCCCGACCCTGCCAGTGGGGGCCTGGGGTCTGGGGCTGAGGATGACGGGACAGGTTCCAGGGGGCAAGAGGAGGCTGGCCAGGCCACTCCTCAGGCCCCCGAGAATGCTGGGCCCAGCGAACCGATATCCACTTGGCAAGCAGCTGGGATCTGCCCCCTGAACCCATTCCTGGTACCCCTGGAGCTTCTGGGCCAGGCGGCCACCCCTGCAAGGTGAGGGGCCCGGCACCTCACCAGACACACCAGACATCGGTGAGCCCCCAGGCCCTCAATCCTGCTTGGGCTGGCACAGGGCTGTCACTGAGGATCTTGCCACGGTGGAAGGTCCCTGATGCAGTGTGCAGTACAGGTCGCCTTTAAGATGCTCGATACAGCGTGGGTCTCAGAAATGGAAGCACAGGGAATTCCCTGGTGATCCGGTGGTTGGACTACACGCTCTCCCTGCCGAGCGCTCGTGTTCAATCCCTGGTTGGGGAACTAAAAACCCACAAGCTGTGCAGCACGGCCAAAAAAACCCAAAAAACCGAAGCGAAGTTGTACAGGGTTTCAGCCATAGAACTGGGGTGAGGGGGTTCCAGCCAGATGGCTGGGCTAAAATCACCCTCAAATACTCCCCCCACTGGTTTCTCATCCCTTCTGAAGTCCTGTATCCGGTGTCCTGTAACTGTGAATAAAGTTCTGGTCTATCCCCCTGGCTCTCTTTCTCCTGTGAGTGAAAGGTGGGAGGGGGCCTAGAATCAGAGGTAGGGAGCCATAGCTTGGAGTCCTGGGGACGGAGCGGGGACATGCCAGGGAGGAGGGTGTGGTTTTCGGTAAAGGCCACTGCACCAGGTCCAGTCTGATGCCATCTGGAGCGGCCTTGGGTTGGCTGTGAGGGGACCCTTGGTGATTGTTTGGAGGGTCTAGGCCTGAGCCTGACCCATGTTGGGGAAAGGTTTTCAGAGCCCGATGACCCTCCATCATACAGATGGAGGGGAGAGGCTAGCAGAGTGAGGGTGGCCAGGTCGGGGGAGCTGGACTCCTGACCACAGGAGGGTTAAAGGTGGGCTGCCCATGTGGCAGGAAGTTGGAGGGAGGGGAGTGAGTCCCTGAGGTAGCCTTGGGGAAGCAAGTGGGGGAGGGAGGGAGAGCTCTAGGGGCCTTAGGAGCAGGAAAGGGGGAGCAGAGCTGGGTGGAGGAGGGGGCTGGGGTCCTGGCCGTGACCCAAGGTCTCCAAGTCCCAGAGGTGCTGCCAGGTCCCCCTGCACAGGGCCCCCCTCCCTCAGCCTCGATGAGCGTGTGGATTCAGGGGCAGGTTGGTGAGGGTCGGGTGGGGGAACCGGGTGTCCTCCTACGGCACCACCTTCCCCCAAATCGAACCAGTCCTCTGAGAGCCAGTGAATTTTCTGTTCGCAGAGCCTGTGCATTCACACAGCCTTCCTTTTATAGCACCGCTCATCTCTCCCCACACACACTGCACACGGCTCCCCCCCGGGGGCGCACAACACATCTCGCAGGCGGGCCGTGGAGCGGAGCCAGCCCACTCCATGCCCAAGGACTCACAGCACCAGCCCCGTGGTGTGCAAAGTGCACATGCTGATGGTGGGACAGAGGGACCAGGCCAGAGAGGTTTGGGGCTGCGGGTGTGGTCACAGTACCAGAAGGCCGTGCCAGTTCTTGGCGACAACCTCCAGAGCTGGCTGAGGGCACCCCATCCAGGCTCCCTACTAGCCTAAGTCCATTCCATGGCCCCCAGAGTCTCCTCAAGTCAAGGGAAAGAAGGGTGGTCTTGGCTGTTCCTGGAGCGAGGGGGATGGATTATGCCTTGGTCCCCCAGAGTGTACATCTGGGTGTTTCGCAGCCCTGGGCAACTGTTAAGAGTGTGCAGAAGTCAGCCCTGGGTTCAAATTCTAGCCTGGCTAGAAGCCAGCTATAGGCAGGTCACTCAACCTGCCTGGACCCGAGTCCCCTGGCCTGTAGAATGAGGATGCTAACAGGGTCCTGAAAAGAGAACAGACCAAGTACAGGAGGAGCTACCTCAGCACGCTGCTTGGCATGCAGTAAGCGCTCAATAACAGCTTTTATTAATACCATGGGCTCAGAGGCAGGGAGGAGTGAGAAAGCAAGGGGAGGGCCTGGGAGGGGGGGTTGCAGGAGGGACCAGGGGGAGGTGGCAGGAGGGCCAATGAGGGGTGGAGGTGGTGACAGAGGGAGGGGCGCGCTGACCTGAACTGGGGCCTGGGCTGGGGGCGGGAGGGAGCCTGTCTGCCCTCTCCCCCTCATGGAAGGAGGCTCGCATCCTGGACACAGCAGCCATTGTCGCTCTTCAGTCACTGTCTCCGGAGCAGGCCCCGCAGGGCATATTGGTATGCAGCGTCCACCTCATGGGCCCAGGAGAGCCCGCAGGCCCGGAGCCCGAGGAGGGGCTCAACACTTAAGGGGGGCGGGCGGCGGGGGAGTGAGGATGGCCAGAGGACAGGGGAGGGAGGGGAAGGGACACGGGGGTCCCCGAACCCGGGAGCGGACATGACACTCATGCTCGGCGGCAGGGCAGTAGCAGAGCCACCTACACGCTGGGGGCGGAGGGGCGGGCGTCCTCTTCCCACCCAGGCTTTAGAGTCGGGGGCCAGCCGGGCCGGTGAGTTACGGAGAGAGGACAGGGCGGGATAAAGGCACGAAGTGGGGCTCCGGCCTGGCCAGGAGGGAAGATGGGAGGGGTGTGAGGGGGGAGGGGTTGGACTTCTCTTGACGCCCTCCCCCCTCGGGCTGCGGGCTCGGGGGCAGGATCCTGAGCGCGGTCCAGGCCCGGCGGCGCACCGTCGGATCGGCCCCGGGAGAGAGACCCCCGCGGAGGGCCGGCCGAGGGCGCCGCACCGCTCAGACCAGCGCGTAGTCGAACTGCCCGCGCTCGAGCGCCTCCTTGTGGTCTGTCCAGGACGAGGCGGGCATGCGGCTGTAGGGGTCGAGCAGGATACGCACGCAGCGAACCATCAGCAGCACCAGCACCACGAGCAGGCACAGCACGAAGGCGAAAACGGTGCGCTGCTCCGCGTCCAGGCCCGCTCCCACCGGGGGCCCCGTCGATGGCGGCAGCGGCTCGGGGGACAGCGTCCACGTCGCGCTCATGGCTCACATCGCCGCGCGCCCTGCGGAGGAGGGGGCCCGCCCGGGAGGCAGGGATGAAGCTGCGCCTTCCCGCGCCCCCGCGTCGTCCCCACCCGCCGCGCCCCCCCCACACCCTGCCGAGCCCCAGCCCCCGCCCGCGCCTTTGTCCCCTGGCTACGCCCATGCCTGGCCCGCGGGCACCCAACTCCGGGCGTGCGCGCAGGTGGGGACGCTAAGAGCAAGGAGAGAAAACCCCGACCCGGCCGGCCCGCGCACAACAGGTGCGAACGCGCGGCCCGGGCTGCGTGGTGGGGGGCGAGACCCGGTTCCCCCACCCCGCTCCCTTTGTTCTTGCGTCCTGGGGACCCCCCTCCCCCACCGCCACCGCCCCCGCCCCGCCGCGCCCCTCACCCTGGCCTCGACCGGGACCGGGACCAAGCGGCCGGCAGCCGCGCTCTCTTCCGGGACCCGCACCCGCTCCTGGTCTCTCCCCTGTGGCCGCGGCGGCGGCCCGGACTCTGCCCACCCCACCCGCCCCTGGAGCGGCGGAGACCGAGGCAGGCGAGCTCCGCGCCAGCCGGGCCGCCGCGGCTGTTCCCATGGCGACGGGGGCGGGGCCGCCGCGGGGGGCGGAGGCTGCGCAGGGAGCGGCGCTCGGGCCCGCGACCCCGCCCCGTCCTCCGGGAGAACCGGGCCCCGCCCAGAGGCGCCGGGGAGACCACCGGCCCCAAAGAACCATGAGCACCGAGGGCCTCGCCCTCCCACCCCCACAGGCACCCCCCCAAAGCCACCCAGCCCGACTCCAGCTCCCACAGCCCCATTCTCCTCTGCAACCGACCCCTCAGACTCCCTGTTTGGGGGATCCCAGTGCCCCCAAAACTCATACAGGCGCTTAAGGTCCTCCAGCCTCGGGGACCCCAACCCTCAAGCAACCCCAGCCAGGTCACTAAAAACCTCCGTAGCTTTTCCAGTCTCCTTCCTCCCCCCCCACCCCGCCCTGACAACATACTCAGGGTGGGCAGGGTCCCGTCCAGGCGAGTCCTCCCCCTCTTCTGTAGTTCCTTCAGTGACCATGACCGCCGCCCCATGACCACTGGGCTGCCCACCCCCAGTCCCAGCTCCCCTCACCCCAGTGACAGACACCTTGGACTACCCAGGTTGCTCTCCTGCACTTTGGTGTTTTATTATTTCCAAATCTCTGCGTATGTATAGGATAATAATAAGGGCACTGTTAAAAAAAAAAAAAAAAAAAAAAAAAAGGCTGAAACGGCCTGGCTGATGCGGCCAGTGGGCCCAGGCCGCACCACTGGGTCCTGGGAGGGTACCCCTGGGCTGGGGGCCTCTGGGCACTGCCCGTAGCCTGGGTGCCCATGGCCCAAGCAGCCCCCATGGGGCAGAGGGGCGGTGCTGGGGCTGGCGTTGTGCACAGCAGCCCCTCCCTTCCCCGCCGCATCCCGCTAGCTCTGCAGCAGTCCTGGCACGGCGGGGGCACAGCTGACAGTCTTGTCCCCAGAGGTCTAGTTGCTGCAGGTGGACACCAGTCCCCCGTGTGTCTGCAGTGACGATCCAGCCCCGAGGCCCCACTCGTGGCTGCTGCGCTCAGAGGACCTGCTCTGTGCTGGAGGCAGAGATGTCCAAGAGCCGCCAGGCCGCATAGGGGTTGAGCTCGCCCTGGTCTCGGCAGAGAGCCCACACGCACAGCATTCGCAGTACCTTGTCCTGCAGAATCGGGGAAGGGTGGGGCTAAAGGCAGGGTGCGAGCCCGGCACCCACTCCAGGACGAGCGCAGGGCACGGAGAGAGACGCTGCCAGATCAGGGCACTGGGAGGGACCAGGGAGTGGTGCTGCGGGGTCTGGGGTCCAGAGCAGAGGCAGGGACGGAGGCTGTAACTCAGGACTTGGTCAAACTGGAGAGATCAGCTACCCTCCACCAGGCCCAGCTCAAGGGGCTGCCCTGCCACGCCGCCGCAAGCCCTGACTCTCAACTGGCCTCACTGCGTGTTCCCGCCCCATCCCCTCCCCCACTCACTCACCGGGTCACCCTCGACCACCTCGCCTTTGGGATTCTTGATCACCATCACCAGCTGGGCCTGGAAGGTGATGATCAGCACAGGGCCCTGCTCCATCATCTTGCCCATGGCCAACTGCAGGGGCACGACAGGGCAGGCAGGCCTGAGAATGGTCCCCAGCCCCTGCACTGCCGCTCCCCCCTCCAGGTGCAGACCCCTGCTTCAGCACCCCAGGGCTGCCACCTGCCACTGGCCCGTTTCTGGGCGGGCACTTCTCAATTGTGAGGAAGAATGTGAACCACCGAGGACCCACACAGGCTCCGCACACTGAGGCGGTGCAGGCGTGTAATGGCCTCTCGGAGCCGGCTGTCTCGCACACAGGTGTGGTGGGTGTGCCTTCAGCTCCCCACGGGGAGGAAATCGAGGGGATCGTGGCAGAGCAGCCCAGTGGGGGACCTGAGCGGTCCTGACAAAGCCTCCTCAGTTAAGGTGCAGGGATAGCCCTGGCTTCAGGGGCCTCAGGGGACCCTGGGTCTGGGCAACAGCACCCCCTGGGCCACCACTTGCCTGAGAATTCCCGACAGCAAGACTGTGGAAACCTTCCACTGAAAGGGACCCTGGAGGTCACTTAATCCAAGCACTGGAACTCCTCCAGGGAGGGGGAGCTCAACCCTCCCAGCTGAGCGCAATTCAGAGAAGCACCCCTGCCCACCCTGGGGTCCACCTGGGCCCCCGGAAGAGGCACTCACGTCGATGTTGTCGATGTCCAGGATGCGGGAGTGGAACTGGAGGCCCAGCGCCTTGGCCTGCTGGATCGGGTGGGCCAACTGGCTGTAGGTCTGCAACAAGAAGCAACAACCGTATGGCCGGCCACCGTGCGAGCCAGGCCAAGGCACTGCATCGCAGGGGAGCCGGGGGCTGTTGCGGTGTCTCGGGAAGCTCCCTGAGGGCGAGCTCACCATGGGGTTTCAGGCTTTCAGCTCTTGTACCTTCCAGAAATGGCTCCCGGCTCCTGGGCGTGCGGCGCCAGGAGTGGCAGATGCCAGGAGCATGGGTCCAAGCAGGGAGGCCGGTGCCACCCGTTGGCTGGCTCGAATCACACACTGCCCTCTCATTATAAAGACAGCACCGTATCAACGTTATTGAAAGCGGTATTAATCAGTGAGTCTGGTTAATTCTCCGGGAACGCGATCTGGAATACACTCCCAGAGGTAAGTCGAGGCCTCTCTGGCTGACCCCGAACACTCCCATGTTCACCTCACTGTGAATCTTGGCCTGGAACCAAACGCTTTTTCTAGGATTCATCCTACCCCGCGGCTGCTCTGGGGTGAACTACCTGGGTCTACTGCCTTGTCACTGACCAGCCCCTGTGGGCGGGTCTCGGCCACTGGCAGCCTCTTCCTCTTACCAGGGCAGTGGTGCCCCAGATGACACCCTAACCCTCTTGTGCCTGCTCCCAGGCCTGGGACACAGCAGCCAGCAGCTTTATATCTCAACAAGCAACCATGACAGAAGACATTCCAACAGCATCCACTCTTTATGGAAGTAACTGATCCACCAAGTGAAAAAAAAAAAGCGCCAATCTTGTGTGGTTTCTTAAAGATGACACTTTCAAAACACCCCTGTGTGAGCGGCTGCAACTTCAGCTGCGTTTCCAGGGGCACCAGCAGCAGCTTGCTGGCAAAGATAACCAGCTACATCCTAATGGTCCCAAAGTAAAAAAAAAAAAACAAAATAACAACAAAAACCAAACCGCTCATAAATGCCCGCTGGATTAGTCACCGTGCAGGGGAGTATTTAACAAGGAAACCTGACATCTTCTCCTCTGCTTTTTCAAGTTGTTTGTGAGCTGGGTACAGAATAAAATCAGCCAAAAGAGACTCTGGATTGCTCAGTATCAAGAAGCTGGTGGGGGAGGGACGGGGGGAACAAATGCTGTGAAGACACAGGTCAGGGAGTGAGCAGGGTGGGGTGAGGTGGCCTGATGACGGGGATGGGGAGGCTGCCAGGAAGGGGCAGTGCCGACAGGATGCTCCCAAGGACGCCTGAGCTGCCGCCAAGCAGCCCAGGGTGGCCTGTGGCCCGGGGCCCAGAGCCCGGACTCCAGGAAGCAGCCGGGCCTCGTCAGGACACGCGGCTCTTCCCGGGTGGGAATCTATCAACGTCTGTTTGGATGTGTTTGAGGATCTTGCAATGGGAACAGCTAATGAATACATCCAGCGCTGCATGTGCTGGAGCGCTGCCCTTGTGTCCCCAAAGCATCCTCACGACCCCCATGAGATGAGCCCGATGATGTAACTCCGGCCCAGGGAAGGGAGGCTGTGGGGCCTCAAACCCCACTTGCCCGCCAGCACCCACGACCCCCGTGCACTGAGGGAACATCGAATGCACCCTCCGAGTTATCCGCCGTCCCTTTCTGCCCACCCCCTGACCCCTGGGCCCCCAGCCTGTAGCCACCCCCACCCCTGACATCTCAGCCCTTCTCGGACTGAGCCACCCAAGCAGATCTCCCCTGAACTGTGATTTCTTCTGAGGCCTAAATAGGGGGGGAAAGCAAGCAAGCACTTACAGCTTCATAGCACCAGTCTTTGAGAATGTCGAGCTCTCCAGAAATCATGGCCTAAAAAGGGAACAGCAAAAAAAAAAAAAAAAAGTGTGAGAATGAGAGTGGGCTTTTGAGGCAGGTAAACTCTGGAGAATACTCTCCAGTTAGAACCTTTCCTCTGCAGACCCCCGGCCCCAGCCTCCGGGTCCTAGTCTGGGGAAGGGAGACTGGGCCAGGCTGCAGCAGTGGGAGCAGAGCCCCCGCAAGTGACAACGGGGCAGCCCAGGCTGGGTCCCAACGGCCTGCTGGAAGGAAAAGGAAGGTGGCAGCGTTTGGGGCTCTTGCCCTGGCTGGGAAACCGACCCAAGGAGGCCAGGCAGGGCATTCTACCTCCCCTGGGGACGAAGAAGCCTTAGGCAGCCAGGTCCACGCGGCACGGGGCAGAGGGGAAGTGCAGGGGAGGGTTCCCAGGGTGCAATGAGAGAAGCTTCCACAGGAACCCAGAGACAGGGCTGGATCTGGTGAGGGAGAGGGTGGGTTTTGGGGGGAGTGGGGTGGTGAGATGCTGGTGGGAAACCACAGGGAATCTGGGGGCTGAGATAATCTCAGCCCAGAAGATTCTGCCCGTGCTTGGGCTGCTGCTTTGGGGAAATGCTACACTTTCACCTCCTCCCAACCCCGCCAAGTGTCGTGAGGGATCTGGGAACTCGGAGGCGAGAGAGGGGGCCAGGCAGACGCGGTGCGGGAGGAAGGGATGGACATTCTCACGGGGCTGGATGGGCTGCCTGCGGTCCCACTAAGGCCGTGCCAACAGCCCCTGGCTTGGCTGGGCTGCAGGATGCCTAGGCTCTAGCCCCAGCTTGGGGCGGGGGGGGCCTCGAGGAGGGTGGCCTTGAGCAAGTCGCCTCCTCCTTGTTTATGTGCCAAAAGGAGAGGTGAGAAGACCAGAAGATGAGCTTCAGGGCTCCCAGAGAGGAAAGGCCCCTGGGCTGCTGTGCTGGTCCCGCCTCCCTGCCCTGAGTCATGCGCTGCCCCCGCACCCTTGAAGC